GATCCATCTATCTATATCTATCTATCTATCTATTATCTATCTATCTATATATCTATATATCGATCCATCTATCTATATTATATCTATCTAATCTATCTATCTATCTATCTATATATATATATTAATATAAATCTATAATATCAAATATCATAATGCAAATTAAATGAATATATATTAATAAAAAGATGCATATATTTATATCTATCCATTTACAATAAATAATGAATAAATATCTATACATATACTGATAGATAAATAGAGATGCATGTATTCCAAAGACAAACATACACATTGGCCCGTGCCCCCGTACTTCCCTTCCAGACACACAGAGACAACATCCAACATCCCCAGTTCCCCCTCGGAGATAAAAAGGCCAAGTCTTAGGAGAGAGAAATTAGAAAGAAGTAATTTGTCTCCCGTAGACTTCATTTGGATTATATTAATTATGCCAATTACGCTTCGTCGATATCGAGAGATCGGGCTGTGCGCAGGAATGAAAAGTATGGGGAGAGAGAGAGACGGCCGATAGATAGACCGATAGATAAGGTTAGTCTTTGTTCATTCAAACGCAAGTATACACATACACGGACACGTATATTCGCACTCACAAACGTATACACACACGCGTGCACACAAATACATCCACGCATCACCGCGCATACACACTCTCTCTTCTCTCTCTCTCACACACACACACACACACACACACACACACACACACACACACACACACACACACACACACACACACTTCCTATTTTCTCCTTGATGAAAAAGATTAAAAAAACACTAATATAACCTCATCAAAAATAGATAAAAGATGTTTTTTCATCAAATGTTTTTTTTTTCATCTGTCCCCCATTTGGTGTGACAGATGTTAACCTTAACAATTTTTGGTCTGATTAAAAAAACGTTCAAAAATTATTTGACATTATATAGAATATCATATTAAGTGCAATATTAAATAATTTCGTAAGCAGAAAAAAATAAAATCAATCTAATATAGCACGATGAACCATTATGTTTTAATAATGTTAAAAGTTAACGTATTATATGACAGACCCACACACACGCATACACACACATACATAAAGAGAGATGGAGGGAGGGAGGGAGAGAGAGAGAAAAAAAGAGAGAGAGAGAGAGAATGTATACACATACACACATACTTATACTTACGCACACCACACACAGGGGAGGGGGGAGAGGGATAGAGAGGAGAGAAGGGGAGAGAGGGAGAAAAATGAGGGAAGGAAGGGAGAGAGGGATTAATTTAGAGACAATAATATATATATGAATATATAGATACATAAATAAATGAACGCATAAAGAACAGGCAATCTAAAATATTCGATAACGTTATTAATATTAAACCAAAGATGAGTATCCAGTTGCAGAGACTTAAAAAAACAATAAGCTAAGTTGGGAGATTTTGTCATATTGCAACCTTCTCTCACAACACAGGAACCACTCAATCCATTTTTCAACAATGCAGTACCATACAAATCTACATCCAGAAATCTCCGAGCTCCTGGGAAATTAACGACTCACGGGAAATATATTACTACCGTCTCGGAAACCACGATCTTCAAACCACTGCAAGATAATTAAACGTTCTTTAGAGACAAGGGGAAATAGCCACGGACAACAACTGTAGACGCAATATGTTGAAAACATCTCTTTCTTTCTTTTTGTCTCTCTCTCGCCTTCGCTTCTCTCCCTCCCTCTCTTGTCTCTCTCTCCCTCCCTCTCTCTCTGTCTGTCTCTCTCTCCCTCTCCTTCTCTTCCTGTCCCTCTCTCTCTCTCCCTCCCTCTCTCGCCTCATCTCTCTCTGGTTCTCTCTCTTCTCTCTCCCTCGTCTCTGTCTGTCTCGTCTGTCTCTGTCTCTCCGAACCACGCCCCAAGCTAACCCTTGAACAGATAAGCATTTCGTCGAGCTACATTAGGGTATCCGTCAGGTAGGAGGGGGAGAGAGGGGAAGGGGGGGTGGGTGAGAAGAGGAAAGAGGAAGGGAAGGGGAAGGGGAGGGAAGAAAGGGGGAAGAAAAGGAAGAGAGGAAAAGGGAAAAGATGTCGAAAGGGAGAAGATGAAGAGAAGCGGTGAGAAGAAGAGAAAGAAGGAAAGGAAGGAAAGAAAAGTTCAGGGAGGAGAAGGGAGGGGGGAGATGAGGCTTCAAGACGAGCAGCTCTCACGGCCAGCTTTACACAATCCCGGAGGAAGCTATATTATTTGCGTTTCTAATAATTGTATCCTGAAATTTCTTCTGGTATCCCCAGTCAACCTCTTCACCTATCAATCATTATACATGTGGTGGAGGTGATGGGTGTCGGGGGGCCAAGGAGGTGGATGGGAAGGAAGATATGCCAGAGGAGAGAGAAGAGGGATGGGAGGAGGGGGGAGGAGCGGAGGGAGGGAGAGGAGAGAGGAGAGAAAAAGAGAGAGAAAGAGAGAGAGAGAGAGATAGAGAGGAGAGAGGTGGAGGATGAGATAGAGGAGAGAGAGAGAAGAGAAGGTGGGAGGCAGGGAGGAGGAGAAAGGAGAGGTGAGAGGGAGGGGAGAAAGGGGATAGAGAGAGACAGAGGGACGGATAAAAACCTAAAGAAAGAGAAAGAAAGAGGGTGTAAGAGAGATGAGGGGTGAGGGAGATAGTAACTGGAACAAGCAGGGGGGTTTACTAAGAACAATATGCTTTCTAACAGTTTCAATTTTGGGAGGAAACTGAAACATTATATAAGGATGTGTTGTATCATTGGTTAAATGGAGTTTCTGGTGAAGACATGTGATGGTAATGTATTGACTTAGAGGTTGTTGGAGAATAGTTGTTACAGCTGTTAGAGGGACTTTAGGGCGACAAGTATTGTTTTCTTGCTATTGTATATGCACCTTGTGGTGGTAATTTCCACAAAGGGAATTTTGTAAATGAGCGTGTTGCACTTTCGAATCATATAAGAGACGTGTCAGAGTAGGTTTTGGTGAGTATAAGAAGGTATAGCAGAAGAAAAGGGATGTAAAAAGCATATAGTGTTTGATAGGATTTTTAGCTCGACAGAGAAGCTGGATTCATAAGTGCGTGTGACACCAAAGCGATGAAGGACAGCACCGATAACTGCCCAGTGTTGGAGAAGAAGTGCAGAGGAAGACCAAATAGAGAATGTGTGATGTTGATTTACGTAAGTGACATCTTTCTGGGGGAGGCATGATAGATGTTAGAAGAGTATGGTAGAGTTATGAGGCGAGATGTTTTATTTCCTTGTTTCTTATATAACACTGCGCAGTCTTGTATTCTATAACTGGTTTAGATGTTTTCTATGTGTACGATAAGTGTTACCGTTGATAGTTTTAGATATTTCAGTCTTTGGATAGTTATTTTTCTCTAGGGAATGAGTGAGGATTTAAGACCGAAGTACGTAGGAGCATGATCATCCAGAATGTGGTCGAAAAACTTGTGGAGAAGAGAGAGTGATGTTTATTTGCTTTAAATGAGTGAAAAGGACAGATGGAAGTATTGAGAGAAGCGGGGTGAGAGTGAGCGGGACAAGGTGTAGTCTGATGAGAGGTGATAGTGTTTAACCGATGAGCATATTGATCGGGATTGGCTACCAGGAAAACGCTCGGACTATATGATTGGGAATAGGTATAATACTTTCTTGAAAAGAGTGAATGGCTTACAGGACTAGTGTGGCATATATATAATATCTTCAAATATACACATCAAATAAATGCTCCCAAATCCTCCAATGACTAAAATATTTTCGGTTATCGTTTAGCTAGCTATGTAAAGCGAACTGTGATTTAACTGTGACCAGCAACCGTCTACTCTCAGCCTCTCCCTCATCGTCACAATATACATACACTAACATGATTTGAATAATAAATACAAGGCTCAATTATATAAATTGTCTAGATTTAGAATTGCATATTCATTATTAAATTGAAGCTGTAAGGGTGTCTTCCTTTTGGATTTTCTATCTTGTTTATACTGTCATCTCCCTGTATCATACTAGCTAACTTCTTGTTTTCCTTATGGGCCTTCCTTTTCTCCTCCTGCATGGTGGCCCAATTAGTATATTCAACATCACACGTCTGTACACTCCCATACCGTCTCCATCTTGCCTCTCTCTGTCTCCGAAGACGCCTAGCTGAGCTGTGACTCTAATACACTTGTACCTAATCCTACCTATTCTTGTCATTTCAAAGTAACAGTATCTTCAACCGCCTGCTGTCTTTCATGCATATGACTTTCCACCAGCAAATCACATCTGTCACTCTTTTCTGTCCACTCCGCTGTACCTGCACCTGTCTTTACCTTTTTACCACACTCAGTTACCTGGCACTGTTAACCACAAATATTAATACTCCTCTACCTTCATCACCTCTGCTCCTTGCACCTTCACTGTTTGCATTCCATCTTTGTATTCCATCTTGATCTTCAACAAATACAACAAATAGAAACTGAAAATCTAACTCACCAAAAAAGGACGGTTTTAAAAGGGCACCATTTTTCGTCACACTTGTCTGAAAACAAAATCACAGCCTTGTAAATAATGCACATTGCTTCTCCTTCTGCATGCTTACTGCTGATAACTAGCAGTGAAAAGGAGCCGCAAGAAAGGTATGTTCTGCTTTATTTATGTTGTCTTAATGTCACATGAATGTTTGACTCTTCTTGTGTTGTCTCATACAGTGTTATTGCTGATACAATTTTTTTGATTTTCATCTATTTTGGCAGTGATTGCATTTTTTTCTATACAATTTTAATAGCCTTTGGAATACTTCATGTACAGCTAAAATATTGCCTGAACATTGAAAATTATTTTAACATCAATTTTGATAACATTTGAAATAATTAATGTACACTTTAGTGTTGACTGAACTTTGGAAATAATTTTAACTTTCATTGATGATTTTTTATGTGATTCTGTTGCTGATTTAAAGATGTTTTTATATATAGTATTGATTAGAACTTGAATTGAAATTGTTTTGACAATCTCTATAATTTATATAGATTACTTCGCACAAATCATACAGGTTTTGTAGTTGTTATGGTGTAGTTAATTTGAGTTTTGATGATTGGCAGAGATTACAGAGAATGCTCAGGATGTGGAGATGTTTCTGGCTCAGCATGGACACCGCTACACCAAGATCAGATTTACTTTTACCATTGAATCTGTGACCCTTTCATTACTTACAAGTGCACAAGGGACAGTAAGTGTTACAGTGGCTTTGAATGGATATTTCTTAGAAAGGGAGGAGGGGAGTAGATTTGTAAAAAGAAAAATGCTATAAAAGATTATTTTCCCTTCTATAGATTTTCTATTTTTTGTGCTGTGCATATTGCAGGTGTGGGTGTTTGAGACTAAACTTTCAGGGTTTTCCAAACAATAAAAAGTAAAAGTATAAAAAAAGGAAATGTCATCTTGTATGCTCCAGTCCAATTTACTTCTTACATGAAAAGAGGAGTTAAATGAAAAGAGTCTTGTTTGAAGTGTTATCCCAAAGATTTAGATAAAAAAAGTTTTAGTTATATAGTTGAAGAAGACAAAGAAAATATTATAGAAATAAGATATTTTCAATACCAAAAAGTAAGTAGAGATAGGAACAATTTTTTAGGGGAGATACTCCATTTAAAAAATGGAAATATTTGTCTTCCTTATGTAATTTTTACTTTTGTGGGGAAATGAGAAAAGATCATAAATAGTTTCCAGTAGAGCACAAACAGAATATATATTTTTTGTGGATATTTGTTTTAATCTGATATATATTACCAAATACAGATTATCACTATGAAAAATGTTGCATGTTATCATATTAATTTCAGGTATTTTGATAACTTTGCCTCATACCAACATAGATTATATATTATCAGTATTTAAAAAAAACTGGCGAATGTGCAAATTTGACATTTATTGAAATAATGCTAACTGGGCATTGATGGCATAAAATATTTTCACAATACAGTAAAATGACACAAAAATTTTATCAAAATACTGTAAAAATAATGAGGAAGAGATGGCATCTGAAAAAGGGAATTTTCTAGAAAAAGGAATGCTGCATATATCTGTGAAAAATAGCATATTTTAGCTAACATTTTTACAGAATTGTACTTATAAAATGCATTCAACTATATATGTATTTGATTGGTAAATATTGTCATAATAAAGACCATTTGTTTTAGTACTGTTATGGTATGATGATATAGATGGCATTACATATTGTAGCCAGGAAAATAACAAAGAAAATAATACTTTTAGAATTTATGCTAGTCTTCAAGGTATTACATGGCAACAACTTCCAACATTTACAAAAAAAAGAAAATTTGTTATCAAAGGAATTTTTTTTTGTGAAGTGCATTTTTATTAATTTTCCTTCAACAACAACCCTACCAATTATGTGCAATGAGATAAATGCATTTATAAATGACCGGATTGATTAAATAAAGGAATTAAAAAAAAAGGAAAAACTTATTAAAGTTGTATGCAACTTTTGCCCCTTTTTAATGCTACAAGAAAATTTAAAGTTGAGTAGAACTGTACCATAAATTAGATAGAATTTTTATCATGTAATTTTTTTTATTTCACAGAACATACCTTATAACTCAGTATTTTAACTTTCTGCAATATTCTAGCAAACAGAATATATATCTAGAATAATTTCTTTAGGAATAAAAGTGATGTATAATACTCATGAAAAGAAAAACTTTAATGCTGCCATGCACTAGGTGAACAACGCATCACATTTCAGAAGGAATCATTGCTCTCGGAGGATGAATCCATGGAGAGCCTGACATCATCTTCGTTCAAGGAGCTGTCCCCCCAACCTGGGACGAGTGACGCACTTGCCTTGCCTCGTGTAAGTCTTGGGGATACAAGAGGCAGCAGAAGATCTCTGCCTCACGTGACAGGTGATGTAGCTATGCAAGAATCAGGATCAGTGGCTCATGGCAGAGAGCTGGCAGAGTTCAGCTTGAAGGTGGTGACGCTAAAGGGAGAAATGTGCTCAGATGGATCGCTGTCAGCCAACCTGGTGCTCTTCGACTGTATTCTGCAAGACACAAGACCAGGTAATTTTTATCTTTGGTGTTCATGTTTTGATGTATATTTTTATTTTCCTGTCTTATGTTGATGGGACTAATCTTGATTGATTTGATAGATAAAGTAAGTAATTAAGCTATAGGTTGCTAGTTCCATTTTGTCTTTTGATTTGGATTGTAATTTATCACCATCTAGATGGCTCTAGAAGTGCCTAGTAACTAATTGCTATGCCTATCTGATATCAGCTGTTTAACCTTTCCTTGATTTTAATATACAAAAAGATAAAATTTATTAAAGTTTCATACCAGTTTTGCATTGATATAGATAAATTTAACTGCTAGGATTGTTCATAATGTAATAGTAATCATAATGTAGTGGTAATAGTGATAATAGGTTATGATAATAGTGTAAGAAAAAATCAAGGAAAGGGTAATCAAGTAAGAAGTCTTCAATGTCTTTTATCATTGCA